TTCTTTTCTTTTCTTAACAAATAAATAAAGGCACAAATTCAAATACTGGGGGCACAACTGCAAATTTCATCCACTATATGGAACGGATGCAATTTAACTTCAGCACTTTGTGTTTAGAATTGTCTTTGGACCTGAACAAAATGCCTGACCCACAATCAATAGAGGTGAGGAAGGCAAGGCAGTGGCTAGTCAACCTTCAGCAACAAACATTAAGGAGGACCTTTTTCAAAACTCTTAGTTTCTTCCTGCCTTCTTGTGGCTTAGCAGCATTTAGGGTGTTGGACTGCTTTTTTAATTTTTGCAAAGAAATCAAAGTAAGATGAAAACAGAAGTAAAAGTGGCACTATCAGTCATGTGGTGCGTATCAATAGATGCTTGTTCATTCTTTACTCCATTGGCTGCTTAAAGTCCTTTGGTTTGAAGTAGTTTGACTTGGCATCATGGGATGCCAAACTATGCTACAAAATGGGACTTCCGGGGTGGTGCCATTGGCAATGGCGGATTCCCTCTGAACTGGAGGGACCAGCTCCACGGGAAACGGGTCTTTTCCGCTACGGCGAAGCGGGGACCCATTCAAAAATCACAGGCGGATGAAGCCTGTGACCATGGGACTCGGCGGGCACCTTTAGCGCCCCCCCAACCCGCAAAGGAACCCACTAACGGGCTCCGGAGCGAAGAGGGGGAAGTGGCGCGGTGCTGAGAGTCAACTGCTTCTTCCGTGGAGCGAAGCCGCACAGCCGTTGCCGGAGAGCGCTGCCTTTTTCCTGGGACAATTTGGCTTTTAAAACAACCACCCGTGAGTACTTAAGTTTTGGACAATTGGACTCTAAATAAGGATTTGCGAGCAGAAAGGAAAACTGGACTTAAAAGTTTAATTTAATTTGGCACTGAAACGGGAAGGTCTAAACAGGAAGTCAGCCTTCCGTTTCTTTGTAGATAGATTAAAGCAAAGACACGGCAAACTAGAGTTCTGAAAATCGCTTCTAAAGGATTAACTTTCATCATTTAAAATTGTTGAACCCCCTTCGGAAGCAGGAGAAGAGGGGTTTTTTCCCCCGGACTGTTTAAACCTGCAGAAGTGAGTGTGAAGTAAAGTAACTTTCCACCGTCTTGATCCTGGAGCGGGGTGTCAGGACTGACGTTTTTTGAAGCTCATTGACCAGAGACAAACGTTTCTGACAGATAGCTAAAGGAAGAGATACATAGTGATTCCATTGTTCCCTTCGCATTTTAAAGGAACAAATCTTGACAAAATATCTGAAAAAGGAAACTTTGTTGTTAGATCTGTTTTTAAAAGAAAAGAACAAACAGAAGTTCTTCCCCTAGAGGGAGCCTGTGAAACTGTAACCAATTTTGAATCGGGGGCTCGCAGCGGTTACAGATTACGATCGTGGGAATAGACTTCTGACCTTGCAGGACAATGTATTCAGAAGCTCTGTTGAGTGCTTTCTGTAAAACAAGTGCCCTATTGGAACAGCTACATGAGAAGACGGATTTTATGACTGATGCGATTAGAAATTTTGGACAGGCAGTGGGAAATTATATAGAGCCCACCCAGGAATCAGATCAGGAGTGTGCCCTGACAGAACAGATGAGGGAAGAGGATGTTGCTGAATCTTGGGCGCCAGAGATGGAGGGAGCTGCGGCCCAGCAGGAACATGAATTCTTGGACTTGACAAATGAACTTGGAAAAAGCCAGATTTGGAAAGATAAAGTTTGGTTTTGATAGGAAAAGGGGGTTGTGATAGAACCCCCTATGCAGGGAGGTTTGGACTTTTCGAGTCTGGCAATGGGCCGTGAGATGTTTGGGGTTGTGGGGCTCTCAATTTTGGAGGGACTTTGAAACATGTTCTTAAATACCACATGGAGCTTAGTGTGGACTATGGAAAAGGGGCTGATTTGTCGAGAAGGGTCAAAAGCATTCTCAAGCTGGAGTTCCCAAGAGTGAAAGAAGTAGGAGACAAAGGAAAATACAGCTATAAATATGAAGAAGAGCTGCGGAAGGGACATGGAAGGGACTTAAGGGCCTCGGACATAAGGTTACCAGGTTAATGCGCTAGATTGATGGGATAGAAAGGACTGACAAAACCCGGGTCCAGGAGGAAGAGACGCTGGATGAAGATTGGATTGTTATTTCTTTTATTATGATTGTTTTATAAAATTGATGAATGTTAGAAAGATGTTGAAACGAAATTATTTGGCTTTAGTAAAAATGTTTAAAGAATTATGTAAGAATATTATGGTTATGAGAAATTGGTAAAAATAAGATTTAAGTTTTAAGTTTTAAGGTTTTCATAGTAAGATAAGATTAAAATAGATTAAGGTAAAGTAATGACAGAATATTATGAAATATGGAAAGGATTTGCTGCGACAATTAACAACTAGGATACAAAAAAGGGAGGAGGAGGAGGTCAAAGAAAGAAGGTAATGACAGTTAAAGAGTTGAGAATATTGGATTTGTTTTTAAATGTTTGTGATATATTTTTGTTTTTTAATTGTGTTGTGTTATTTTTTGATCTTGATTTTTATTAATCTGTATTGTTTGATTGTGGTTTGTCTTTTCTCTGTTTTTTCTTTCTTTTTTTCTTCTTTGTTTTCTTTTGTAATTCTAAAATTTTCAATAAATATCATTTAAAAAAAACAAAACAAACTATGCTACAAAATGCCATATTGTATTCTAATCAAAGGCCAGGGTGCCATGCTTGAGGAAGATCAGTACAGAAAGGGAACATGGCATTAATTTGTGAATTGCTGGATGAATATACCTAATATTTTTCATGCACACTTTTTATTCTGTAATGATTCAGAGTCTACGTAACAGGCTTTCTCACCTATGACAAAAAGCTCTCAGTTAATTCTGGGGAGTCATTGACACAAAGGCAGCTGAAAATGTCAGGTTGAATCTTGGTTTATCTCTTATTATAAAGCAGCCTCCCCCAACCTAGTGTTCTCCAGATGTTTTCAACTACATGTCACATCAGCTCTAGCCAGCATGGTTCTGTCTGGGGCTACTGGGAGGTTGGGGACTGTTGGTCTACAACGCTACTCAGAGAGATGAAAACTACAGTGAACATGCAGCTCTCTGTTTACCAGTCTCTTCCATAGAATTAGTAAAATTGGCCTATGGAAAATGTTCTGTGTGTATCCAGTAACATGTCCACCATTTTGGATTATATTTGTTTTTACTTGAAGATCAAGATAGCAACCTTCTCTTACAGTGCAATCCTGTACATCTTTACTCAGAACTGATTTCTATGAGACTTGTTTTCAGTTAAATAGGACTGCAACCCTTATCCCTGTAGAAGATACCAAAATTTGCTTCCTTTATTGGAAACATCACAATATGAAGAAAGAAGGGAAACTGATATTTGCTGACTAACAACTGGTTATTCTCAGTGGGTTAATTATCTACAGACTTTTGAAGAGTAACTACAGTTCCAGCTTTACCAATCCATTCTGCATAACTTGGACGTGAGAGAAGTGATGTTTTAAACAGATTCTGTTGTAAGCCACAACCATGTCACACATTTATACTTCCACAAGACTAGCACCCTTGCCCCCCCCCAAAAAAAGGTAGTTGTAGTGTATTCACTGTTTATTGACTGCATGAAAACAGTTGAGTGAACTGGCCTAGAATCAAAATACATTAAAAACTGAATTCCTGCCAAATTCATGTAATGTGAAATTTGAGGTGACTGGAGATTCTTCCTTGCTGAGCAGAACAGGCACATTCTCCAATAAATTCTGAGTGAAACTAAGTTTGATATGACTAATGAAAGACCTCATGGGGAAGGCAGTGTTTGCACATACTGAAGTTGCCACTGATTCTGTGCCCCTCGCCCAAAGTAAAAAGCTGGAATAGTATTTCTAATTCCTATGTACAAGTAACAGGTTTATAGGGTCTAGGTGAACTGGAGCTTTTCATTACATACATACACAAACAAACACACATCGTCTTGAGTGATTGCCCAGGGCAAATATGCAACCAGATCAGCCTGAATTTATGGTTACTGAGGGAGTGGTCAATCTAAAGGTTTACATACTTGAAAAAGAAACAGAAATAGTTTGAAGACTGTGGGCTCCTCTAGACTTTTTCCCCCTGGTGTATTTTGCGACATGTCATTGATGCAATAATGATGCAATGACGTGCATCAGTGGTGGATTTATACGGCACCATCCACATACCACCCCATTTTATTAGTTGTTCTGTGATGCTTCTTTAATATTATTGCACTATTGCTGGCTGGAGGGACTCTTGCGCTACAGCGCAACAAGAGTGGTACAAAAAATTAAAAATAAGCCAAAATATTTGTGGTATAAAGAGTTACAGGATTTAGAAAGAAGTTGCCAGACATTCGTCAACTGGAAACAAAGCAGTAAGTGTCCGTTCTGAAACTTTTGCTGGCACAAAGAGTACTGAAAGCAGGATTGAGTAGAACCACCTCAATTCTATCATGAGCACAAATCACTATGGATGCAAAATAAAAAAGAACATCAGGGCAGCAGGGAGGGGGCTGTACTTTAATTCTGGGAAAAGTGAGACTTTGAGTGGGATTCAATGCCACCCTACTTAGGAAGTAGGTGTCTTCCCACTCTAGGAAGAAGTCACACCGACTGTAGGCAGCTCTATGCTTGGAGCTGCCTTCAGTAGAGAAGAACCTGCTAGATCAGTGGTTCTGAAACCTTTTTTCTCTGGGTCACAGTTTCAGAATAAAAATTTGCTCACACCACACCCCTTTTTTATGGATAAGAAATACATTGGAAAACAGAAAGAAACAAGTCGTAGCAGTTGCTTGATTTATAAAATAGAAGACAACTAAAGCAAGATGAGCACCACAACCCCACAGTCGTTCACGACTGGACCTAATGGTCCCTTTACCTTTTTACTTTGTAATATGATCATGGGACATCCAGAAAGTATAAAACAATGCTGCTACATAATAACACAAGTCGTTCCCAAAATATAATATTGATTGTCCTCAAATCTTCCCGCCAAATTTGCCTTCCGCTCCTGCCCACACCCGTGTGGTGCGCCACACCCTTTGAGAGCCACTGTAATAGCCTGCAAAAGATAATGAACCTGGAGCAGGAAGAAAGAGAAAGGACTCCAAACGCTAACAAGGAATCTCTGCATTGTGATATACTTTAAATGGGAAAAGATGGTAAATGCAGAAGGATTTGCAGAGTTTCTCTCTTCATATACAAAAGCCTTTCTGGAAGCAATTGCTCACTCTCTCCTGTGCATGGCACAGCTTCTCGGGAAATGAAAAGACTTAAAATAAAAATTTTAAAAAAGAGAAGGGAAGAGAAAGGCAAGCACTGAGCTTCATAAATTCACACTGCCACTCCAGAGGCTTAGAGGGAAGCAGTACAACATAAGCCACCATTGTCAGCAGCAGCTTCGCTCTTATCCTAGCAATACAAGGGAACCCCATACAGCACCAGGGAATGAATATATATATATATATATATATATATATATATATATATATAAACACTATACCCAATATTATAATTGGCTGTGCTGAGCTGAGGGAGGAGAAAGAGGAAAGAAAAGGAAAAGAAAAGAAAGAGCAGAAAAAGAGGGAGGCTAAACCCCCCCAATCAATGGGGAAACACTACAATCCAAGGCACACAGTGTGAAACCAACCCATGTACAACATTGTCCGGGTAAATTGATGGGCCTGCATTATTCCTCGCCTGCATTAAGTAGCTTTGTACCGTTAGCCCTGTTCTTGAAAGATAACTTCACCTTTCACCCTTTAAGCTCTGAGACACTCCTAAAAGTACTGGTATGCTATTAGAATAAGCAGGAGCAATGTTAATTCCCAAGTCCTCTGCTTCTCCTCCCTCCTTGTCATGTGTGTGTGTGGCATTGCCTTATTAAAACGAAAACATATCTCAGAAATATCAGCTTGCCTTTCAGTGTCAAAACTGCAACAGGCTTCATTCTCCTGACAAGTTGCAAGCAAGCTGTGTGATTTCCAGTCTCTTGTCCTTGCACCTCTACTTGTCATTCTATGCTGTCGGTCATCATCACACTTGTCTCATTTGGGTAGGGAAAGATAAATTAAAATGATATTAGCAGTGGAGTTGTGGGCGGAGGCAGAAGAAAGCACTCATTAAGGATTTGTTTATATAGTAGCCCAAGATAACTACTTCACCTCGATTTATTTCCACAAGGACAAAATGAATTCAAAGTTGTATAATGATTTCAAAGTGAGGTGTCCTGGGGTACCAGGGTCAGTGGGAAGCACTCCTGCTTGCCCTCTTTTCACCTGAGAATAACAACTGAGCATCATGTTACACAAGGAATAAGAATGCCTCTGAAAAGACCCTCCCCTTGGTGCCTCTCACCTCCACTCCCAGGAATCCTTAACCAGCCAACGTGGTGGCACAATAGGTTACAGTAGCCAGCCACTTATGCAAATACTCAGCAAAAAAAGAGGATGAAAGAAGACTCTGATTTGCATAAAGATTTATAGAGCGAGCGAGCACAGATTTAGAAATAATTGCATTAATTTCAATGAAAATACAGCACATCTCACCATAGTAGGTAAGGCTGTTACCAGGTTACCTATGCACCTGTTGAGTCCACTGTATACATGTTTGCTGTTCATGGGAAACTTCAAGGCTCCTGCTCTCCCTTCTTATGTTTCTTAATCATTCTTAATCATTTACATCTTTCTTGAACTGGACAGCCCTTTGAACAGGGGATCAATAGCTATTCAGATACAGGGCTGCCATCAGTAAAGTAGGTCACATGGCCACTCTACATTAGACGGTCTCAGGTGGCAAATGCATGGGCAGGTTAGCCATGGCCTCCAACACCTTCATCCTCTAAGCTATCATACCAGTCTTGTTAACTTTTTTTACATGGAATTGAGTGGTGGTGCTACTCTGTCCACCTCAGGCAGCCAAGTGTCTCAGACCTGCCCAGATGCATGGAGTAGAGATACTGCCAATATACTTGAAAATAAAAATGATGAGTTAGATCAAGAATGGAGAACCTGTGGATGTCCAGATGTTGCTGGACATTCAGTGGGGACAGCAAAACATCTGGTGTCTATGCTCTGGTGACCTTTAGGTACGATTACTGCCATATGGTATACATAGAATTACACAAAACAAATGAAATGCCGTGAAAATCCCTGAAACGAGAAATAATCGACTATAGAATTAAACTAAATAACAAAAATAAAAAGTTTAAGGAAAAAATTAACCTAGAATTGAACAAAGCCTTAACGGGATGCCGGCTACAAACCTCGTTTCACTGAACTTTTTGATTTTTGTTATTTAGTTTAATTCTATAGTCGATTACTTCTCGTTTCAGGGATTTTCACTGAATTTCATTTGTTTTGTGTAATTTCTTGGTTCTGTGGCTGTCTTTTTTCTATATGGTATACATGGGGCTTCCTTTAAAGATGGTTTGGAAACTGTCTTTGGTACAGAATTCAGTGGTCACACTGCTGACCAGGGCAAGATGGTCTGAACATCTTGGTGCAATTGCATTGGCTGCCAATTAGTTTCTGGGCCCAATTCAAAGTGCTAGTTTTGATTTCTGAACTCTTATGTGGTTCAGGACCCAAATACCCCAAGGACTGTCTTCTCCACATGAACCAACCTCTGCATTCATCATCTGAGGCACTTCTTGCCTCCTCCAAGGGAGGTGTGGAGGACAGCAACATGAGAGATTCTCACTGCTCCAACCTTCACATCTAGAGTATCCATGGGCAGATGCCTATGTCTTCCAAATATTACTTCCGGGTGGCGCCATCGGCAATGGCGGAATTCCTCTGACTGGGAGGAATTTGCCCCGTGGGAAATTGGGTCTGGCCGACACGGCGAAGGCGGAGACCCGTAAAAATCACAGGCGGGAGAAGCCTGTGAACATGGGATTCAGCGGGCACCTTCTGCGCCTCCCCTACTCGCGGGGAAACCCGTTTTCGGGGCTCCGGAGCGACGTGGGGTGAGTGGCGCGGTGCTTCGAATCGTCTGCTTCTTCCACGGAGCGAAGCCGCACAGCCGTTGCCGGAGAGCGCTGACTTTTTCCTGTGGACAATTTGACTTTAAAGTAATTACCCGTGAGTAGAGCTGAAACGGGAGAATTGGATTTTTAAAAGTATAATTTGGTATCAAAGCGGGAGGTTCAAAACAGGAAGTCCACCTCCCCTTTTGTAAATAGACTGAGGCAATGAAGTTGCAAGCTGGAGTCCTGGAAAGTCTTTTGTAAAAGATTAAATTTCCATCGGTAAAGAACAAAACCCCCCTTTGGAGGCAGGAGAAGAGGGGGGGAAGTTGTGGACTGAATATGCCTGCAGGAGAGAGCGAAGAGATCTAAAACACCGCTGCTCTGACCCTGGAAACGGGCTGCTAGTAGGACTGACGTATTTTGGAATGTTCATTGACAGTGTTTAGAACGTTCATTGACAGCTAGTTAAACAAGAGAAATACATTGTTTCTACTGTTTCCGGCTGCTTTAAAAAGGAGTAAAAGTAACTGAAAATTGAAACTAACTTGAAACTAATTTTTGGATTGTTTAAAAGAGGATACTATTGACTATTACAAATAGAAACTGTTTCCCCCTAGTGGAAGCCTTTGAAACCGGTTGCTTTACAAGAGTTGGGTTAGGGAAATTTCCAGCTGCAAGTTAAAAACCGTGAGACTCTGGAACTGACCTTGAATCTTTTAAGTGTTATGGTTAATGGAAGAGGAAAAACAGACCAGTCAACTGCTGACAAAACATTAAGGTCTGGGAGGACTTGGCAACAATCCAGGAGAGCTTCACCATCAGGCCCCCCTGCTTTTTTTGTTGCAGCCTTTGTACCAGTATATGTAAAACCAAGAGAAATGTTGACAGAAGAGGCTCTAGTGGCTGCATTATTTAAGATAAATGATTCATTGGATCAGCTTCACAGGAAAATGGACACGATAAATGCGAAAGTGGATGTTTCAATCATTAAAACTAACTTAAATATAGAAAGTATAAATAATACTAATATAGAAACTACCCAGAAATTGACACAGGAACCTATTTCGATACGGCAAACTGCGGAGGAGGCCAGGGAAAAAGCTGTTATTGCACACAACTGGAGAGAAACACAACTGGAGAGAAAGAGCAAGAGAGCCCCAGCCCTACAGAAGCAACTTGATGAATATAAGTTGACGCTTGCTATGACTGAACTTAAAGAAAAACAGACGAATTTGAGGATTAGAGTTCACCTTTGGGGGACATGCCCAAGGATTAAGACACTTTGGGAGATGATTCATAATGAAATGAAAAAGGTATTCAAATATACCTTTTTGAAGAAACCAGAGGCCTTTCTCCTGGGCATGGTCGGCCAATTGGTGTTAAAGCAGGATAGAACTCTTTTCACGTATGTAACAATAGCAGCAAGAATACTCATTGTGAAGTACTGGAAGACACAAGATTCATCTACCCGGGAAGAATGGCAGATGAAGTTGATGGACTATATGGAATTGGTGGAAACGACTGGCAGAAATCCGAGACCAGGGAGAAGAGTCGGTGGAAGAAGACTGGAAAAAGTTTAAGACTATTTATAGAAATATTGTAAAAATAATGAATGTTAGAAAAATGTTGGAATGAAGTTATATGGCTTTAGTAGAAATGCTATAAGGAATTAAGTATAAATAGACTAATAGAGTATTAAAGGGAAAAATAAGATTAGAATATGTTAAGATAATTATAGGATAGAAAACAGAGGAAGATGGAAAGGAATTGCTGAAACAATTAATAGAAGTGGAATACAAAAAGGGAGGTGTGAGGAGGTCGTGGAAATAAGGGAATGAAAGTTAAGATATTGAAATTGTTTTGTGTTTTAAATGGTTTGCATCTTATTTTGTTAATTTTACGTTTTTTCTTTTCTCTTCTTTGCTTTTTCTTTTCCTTTTTTGTTTTTTCTGTTTTATTGTGTTTAAATGGTTGGAAAATCAATAAATATTATTTCAAAAAAAAAAGTCTTCCAAATATTAAGTAGTATGGTGTATGTACTATGTCCAATGTACAAAATAATAATAATGATATATAAATTAGTTCAGGCAGCACTCAGGGCCAGTCCTTCTTCTGCTCTCTGCTCAGGGTTCTGTGGAGATTGCTTATGATCTGATTACTCTGCTCACACGAGCCATTTGTTTGAGGATGAAATGCTGCACTCCTGCTTTCATGACAGCCATATGACAGGGTACAAAGCTCTTTAGAGAGTTGTGATTCAAAGGCATGGCCTTGGTCTGTTAACACACTTGAAGGATATCCATAGGCCCTCGTAGTCAGAAAGACCTGAGCTGTTGTCTGTGCTGATAAATCTTCCACCGGTGCTGTCACCACAAATTTACTGTAATGATCAGTCATTACAAGCAAGTAAGCATCTCTGCCACGCTCTAAGGGCCTTTCTACACTTACCATCTATAGCTGTATAGTAACTGGGGTTTTGGGATTTTGGGGCATGCTTCTGCATAACATCACTGTTGTTAAGTTAGTATTCCACAATAATGTACTAAAAAACAAGCAATCACGGGCGGCGTGTGTGTGTGTGAGATCTGATGTTTGTGAAAGATCCAGAATAGATCTTCAGTATTTTCATTTGTGTGGCATGTATACAAGCAATCCTGGTGTCTGTGTGGAAGGGTTGGGGTAGGTGGGTGTGCTTTGGGAGACGTCTGTTTGGTGCCACTTCAGTCTTACCAGTGGAAACAATCAGTTTGAGAGCTCAGTTCAGAGGAGCGTCTCCACCTCCATCGTCCAACCCGGATATGGAGGTCCAGCTCCAAGGGCTTTCTGATGGTTTCCTCACTGTGAGACATGCAGCTACAGGGAACCAGGTAGAGGGCCTTCTCAGTAGTGCCTGTGGAATTCCACAATTGCCCTGTGGAATACCCTCCCATCTGATGTCAAACAGATAAACAACTATTTGACTTTTAGAAAACATCTGAAGGTGAATTGAATTTAAGATTGGAAAATAAGAAACTGAGAGAACAGAAATTGACAGATCTTTCCATCCCTATTCATAAATGCTGCCCGGGCAAGATCTCATTTGACTTAGGATCCCTGCTTTTCCTAATTAATCTTCTCATTCCTCATGCAAATATTTTTGCTGCCTTAGCATTTTAAATACTTTATTTCATTACAGTGGTACCTCGGGTTAAGTACTTAATTCATTCTGGAGGTCCGTTCTTAACCTGAAACTGTTCTTAACCTGAAGCACCACTTTAGCTAATGGGGCCTCCTGCCGCCGCTGTGCCACCGCTGCACAATTTCTGTTCTTATCCTGAAGCAAAGATCTTAACCCGAGGTACTATTTCTGGGTTAGCAGAGTCTGTAACCTGAAGCGTATGTAACCTGAAGCGTATGTAACCCAAGGAACCACTGTATTCTGTGCAACTCCTGCACCGCTAGACTTTGCATCTGAATCCCTGTCCGTACATCATGCTGCTTCCTTGAAACAAATTCATTCCCATTGGTCCTTGGGTTACTTATACATTTGACAAGCAAGTTGCACTTTGTCTGCGGAGGCATTCACTACTGAAGGCCCTGCCAAAGCCTCCAGATAGTTGGCATTATCCTCTGCAATTCCACCAGGTGGAAAAATGATATATTTATCCGTCTTCACATTACTTTTGCCTGGTTTGTACTTGATGGCAAAATTGTAATAGGGGCAACAAGATCACCAGTGTTGCTCCATCTGCTCAACAAACCCACTGCTGCCAAGTATCTAGTGGGGGTTGGGATTTGGAATTGCTTATGGTGGATGTTTGTTTTATAATTAACCAGTTACGTTAATACAGGGATGGGGAATCTATGGCCTTCCAGATGTAGCTGGACTACAGCTCCCATAATCCTTGACCTCTGGCCATGCTTCCTGGGGCTGATGGGAGTTGTAGTTCAGCAACATCTGGAAGGCCATAGATTCCCCACCCCTGTGTTAATCGCTCCTAACGTTATGAGATAAAGGAATATTGTTGCATTTCTTTTGCCAGTCATTCTTCTCGCAGAACTCTCTGGCATTACAGATCTTAAATTAAGCTCTTTACCATGTGACCCAAGACACATAGCTCAGGGGGGAAAAACCTGAGCAACAAGCAAGAAAAGAAAAGAAAAGAAAAGAAAAGAAAAGAAAAGAAAAGAAAAGAAAAGAAAATGGTGATATCCAGTTATGGTGTCCTGCTTGTGCAACAGACGTTTGCTTGTGCATATGAGATGTTTGCTTGTGCATACGTTTGCTTGTGCATCCTTCTACTCCTCCATCTTGCAGCCCCATATAAATCCCCAAATTCTGCTCTACAGGCTTGGAGGACACCTGCTGTAGCAGATTGGGGGGTTGCAGGGGAGTGCAGGGGGAGGAGAGGAAATTGAAGTTCCATTGTGTCCACTGGCTCCATGTTGGATTCCACCCTGTAACTTTGGCTTTGTTAGATGGTGTGATAAACCTCTGGGATCATGATCACAGGCAACATGAGTGAACAGACTGAGCAGGAAAGGACCTGCTTTTCTGAGATGGTGAAGCACCTAAAACAGCGAAGAGTCACTAATCAGTGAGATATAAAAAATTCATGTCAGCAGTCAGCCATACAAGGCAAAAATGTCATGCCAAGGAGTCTGTGGCAGCATCATATGAGTAGCCGAGCTGCTTCGCTGAATGCATTAGAGGACGCCAGCACCTAAATATGCCAGTGAGATGAATTCTTCTCTAGCAGGCAAACGTGAACTATCAGAATCTTATTTATTATAAGGGTTAGTCCATTGCCTGCATTTTGTCCCCTCCACAACACTCTGTCGTGTTTGCTCACCCTTCAAGAAGGAGATCGTTTCAATTCATATTAAAAAGTTAATTCATGGATGTAGATATGGAGTGCACCATTTATGTCTTAATGCCTCACCATGCAACTTGCTTCTAAGTAAGTACACTTTAAGATTGCTACCTTATTGAAATGAAGTTTTGCCTCCTATATGGCATCTACTTTCATGTGTGCTGCTGTATTCTAATCTCACAAAAGTAGTGTCCTGGTCACCACAACATTTTCTACTAGGTAGAGAAAGGAGTGATCTTTTGTTCATATCTTTTGTTCTCAGGGCTGAGGTAAAATATATACTACTGGCAGCTTTACCAGTTTAATTAATGAAGTTCATATAGACTACTCCAGGAATCATGGTGTTCACAGGAGTTCACAGCTTACCGGTAATCTGAGTCCTGAAGAAACTTTTTTTAAAAAATCAACTCCATTATGAATTTGTGAAATAGTAAAGAGAGTTCCCTGGAACATGGATAGGGTGCTGGGTTTAATTTTAGTCAACCAAGCCTCCAAAAGGGCTTGGATCTGGAAACTGCCTTCACTATCAAAGCTCATCTCCAGAATATATAAAGTGAAAGCAGGGGTGCAAATACCCGAGTTCCACTAGGTGTGTGCAGGTTGCCATTCCTTTATTACTCAATGGATTTAGACAGCTTTGGGCTTAGAGTATGGGGCACTGTGGGTCAGAAGCAATGTCATTTTCTGTTACTAAAAAATTGGCATGCACATTTTATCCTTAAAATTTGTGTTGATTTTCATAGTGATTGTGACTGTAGTGTAGCCCACATTAAGCTGAAATTTCTCATCACAAACAAACCAGGATATGATAACCATCTTCCTAGATACCAGACATGTCCTTTTAAAACCTTTTTTTACCACCCAGATCTTTCCAAATTAGGTCTGTTTATCCCACCACCCCAACATTTTGGCCATCTGAATGTTGTTTTCATATTCCTTGTATGGCATTATGTTGCCCTTACGTTATGCACACTCCCTTTTCTATATACCACTTAAATATTTTTAACAAAATAAAACTTCTGATGCAGTAGGAGGGAAGGCAGTCAGGCAACCCGGGTTCTCAACAGCCTTCCCCTCTACAGCTCTTTTTGTTACCCCCCACCAACCAACCTCTCCATACCTACTGTGGGGCTGGTGACTCACTTGGTGGCTTGCCTGCCATTGCAGGTGATATAGGAACAGAGAAACATAGGAGGTTGTCTTGAACTGAGTCAGGCCATTGGTCCATCTAGTATTGCCCTCACTAACAGGCAGAGGCTCTCCAGGACTGCAGATGGGTCTCTCCCAGCCCTAACTGGAGATGGCGGGGATTGAACCTGGGATCTCCTGCATGCAAAACAGTATGCATGCATGTAACTACCAATGAATTACAGCCCTTCCCCTAACAGACTTGTTTGAGACGGGGAGGAATGGATGGGTAGGCTCACAGTGTATTTGGAGATTTAAAGCAACATGTCTGGAATCTGGGTTGCAAGATCGTAAGGCAGGAAACACAGAAAGAAGAAACTCAGA